TGGGGGTGGGGGGGGGACACTGGCAGGCTGGTGTTACTCCATCAGGCCCCGGCCAAAAGAGCAGCACTTCACTCCCCACACCGCACCATCTGCTCCGAGTGGAGGGGATACAATGGATCCTCAGACACAGAGCCCGCAGCTCTTTTTCAAATCAGGCAAAGGTGGGATGCTTCGCGAGGGGGGGAACATCCATCCGAATGCTTTCACCTCAAATTAGAATATCGTCTCGCCGTCACCTTTTTAAATCTTTCGTTTTTTAAGTCAACACGCCGAGACGACACCGCCGCGGCCGTCGACAGTCGACCATTAAGAAAGCCTCGCGTCTCCCGATGAGACGTTTTCTCGAATCTCCAATTCCCTCACAGCTTGCAAATGTAATTGTGATTGGACTTAAGGGGGGGGGGGCGTGCTGCGCTATTATTTTGTCATGATGGCGCGCTCGCACCAGCTGGCTTCCGCAGTTCGCCGGGACGCAAACCCGATTCAAGAAATCACCCACCCCCCCCGTCAATACTTCCCCATAGCCCGGAGTCATGAGAGCAAAATAGCCACTTGCCTCCCTCATTCCAGGTGTAGGGGACAAGAATATTCAGAGTTGGAGCGTGGACAAAACGAGCAAATAAGCGATCGCCGGGCCATCTGCTCGGCGACGGGCGCAGGACGGCGGTGAACTTCAACGAAAAAAAAAAAATGTCCGACAAGCTGTCGTTGACCTCGGAGGCTCGGAAAGAAGTCGAAAGTGATTCGTAAATTGGGGGCGAAACGATGAAGCGGGGATGCACAAAACTCAACGTCAAGTATGGCAATCAATAATTAAAAAAAAAAAAAAAAAGTGCAGATTGCCCAGCCAGAATGTATAAAAGCAACCATGAAAAGCCCCAGCATCTGGCCTGCGTGCTTGTTGTTTGATTGTTTTCCTCTTCCTTCCAGTTACTGTCCGCCTCTCTCTCTCTCTCTCTCTCTCTCTCTCTCTTTTCATCCCGCCATCGGGAGCCGGCAAAAGTAAAGGATTATGGATCTCTGGAAAAGCGTTCAGCCTTAGGTCAGAAGACAAGACAAGGCGAGGTAATGAAAGATAAACAGCCCGCTGCAAACACCTGTTAACGTCCGCTTCAAAAGAAAAGACGAGGGGGGGGGGGCGGTTTGCAGGGAGGGAAAACAAACAACACAAAAAAAAACAAAAAAAAAAAAAAAAGAAAAAAGAAGTATTCGGCTGCCAAGCAACAGCCGAAGGGCCTCCCGGGCTGTTGACAGATCTTTATGAAATGAAGAAAAAGAAAAATGACAAATGATTCTGGGCTTTTTTTTTTTAACACAACAGCGATGGATGATAAGAGGGAGCGCAAAGAGAAAAAAAAAAAAAACGCAAGCAATCTTGAATACACGTCTGGGCCGAGTCCTCGGGCGAACCTTCGGTGACATGCGCGAAAACAAGGCCCTCCCGTAGTCTTAAATAAACACGCGGGCAGGTAAACGAGAGGGAGTGATTCATCAAGCACGGAATGAATTCGAATGACTTTCGAAGGATAACCGAGGGCATGAATCTAATTTTCATGAGGGCAAAAGGGGGGGGGGGTTGAGTA